GTGTAAACAAGGTTCAGTTTTTATTTAATGTTAATATTGAATTTATTAGATTAGATGAAATTACTATCTGATATCTAAAGTAATTAATTAAAATAAAATTTAAGTAAATAATTAAAAGACGTCAATTTTACACATTAATAAAGATTTCATAGAAGAGAGCAAGTGTGCGTGTCCGATGTTCCGTACTTCTGCAGAAACAAATTTGCAGCAAGTGGTTCGAGAAGTCTTCCTGGCCGGACTGGGCGACAAAAAGTATCTTCCTGACGACGTGGACCTGGAAGTTTTGATGTTTCTTTTGATCGAGAGTTGCTCTTTAGATAAAGGTGAGAACTAATATTTTTAAGTTGCATTTTAATAATAAGTATAGTGTATTGTTTTTGTTTTATTGAAGAAACAATAATAATGACTGGATGATTCATAGAGTTTGAAAATAAGTACAGTATATATGCTACTCTATTCAAGCTTAATTGAATTTTTTTCATGCTTGTCTTTTATACTTAAAAGTTTTAGTGACTATTCCATTTTGTAAAATTGCTTGATCACTGACCTGATTGTTATTGGATTTGTATCATCAATTTTGCTTCCAGACACACATACCTATATACAAACTCATATTCATACTCTCTACATTTATTTGCTCGCTCACTCATTCTTGAATTTGTATTTTCTCTAGAACTTGGTGCATTTTAAACAATTTTTGAAATATCCTGAATATTGTTTCAGTTTTATAATTTTTATGATGATGAGAAAAAATGAAATTTTATTTTTTTGCAAAGAAATTGAACTGTAAAATTCTTTAAAATATAAATTATAAATGAAAATATGTATAATATTAAGAAGATAAAATGCAAAAGTCAATTGTTTATTATTATTTTTTTAACTTCTACTCTAAGGGCACTAAGTAAATTTTTTCTCATCCGCCAAAATCTACATTCTCTACAATGACAGATGGCTCAACATATTTTGGCCAAACAACTCACAAAACTTTCGGGTTCCAACCCGTCACTCCACGATCCAATGTTTTCAATGCCTCGGTCATTAGGTTGCCCGTGTTTTAATATTACATTGGGTGATCGATTGTAAAGTTTACTCGTGAGAAATAAAATTGGCAATGTCATAAACTGGTTGTATTTGCTAATGTCCAGCTATACATCGTAAGAAACATTTAAACCTTTAATACTTATTTATCATGGATTTGAGGAATAGCATTTCAGACTTTAAATTGGTCGTTCCCAACATTTTTGGACTCGTGACCTGCTCGAAAAATGACGTAAAGTTTGTGGCACACTTCATTATTAGATATTACGGAACTGGCCAACAAGTTTATGGTGAAATTACTTTCAGTATTTTATTATTTGTGTTACTACCAATATTAAACCTAGGCTGTCATTCTTTTTTTCAATATTTTATCACGTTTTTATTTTTTAAGCTGAGACTTCTTTTAATCATCTACTTTATTTACTGCTTCAGCCAGTGTTTTTTATATTGGTTTTACTCGGGGATTTTGGCTATGTGGACACTTACATAAGTTATATTTTTTATTTGTTTATAATTGAAGTCAATAACAATCTCTGTAGTTATCCTGCCATTAAGCAATAACATCTGAGTAATTATTAACTATATATAATTATAATAATAATGATCAATTAATGTAAGTAATTTATTGAAAATCCATTTTAAGTTGTAAGTGTGGAGACTGGTTGATAACTGTTGAACTAGAGTGGCATGTGATGAGCCAGTCAGACCTATTCAATTATTGGCAAGTAAACTTTTCATTCGATGCCCTGCATATCAGTGAACAAGCTCTATTAAATTTATATGCATCAATGTCCTTAATTTAAACAAAGTATTCTTTCAATCACCATAACAGTATATTTCTATTAACTCCTTTGATACCCTTGTTCCGATTCAAATGCAACTAAGAAATCCACAAAAATTTATGTTTTATATGAAATAATTATTTCCACTTAAACGGGAATCGGACATCCAAAAAAATTGCCGGAAAATAATTCCCGCGAAATAAAAAAACCCCTCCAAAATTGTTTTTACAAAAAAAGTATATAAAAAAAATAAAAATAATTTAAAATAAATGCTTTTATTTGAAAAATATAGCTGTAAGGATTGGTTATTTTTTCGTTTAACAAGGCGTGAAATTTCACTGGCGCAGTCTACATTGTTTACAAACTGGTCAACCTCCAGAACAGCTGAAGTCTGCTTTCCCGGGTAGTTCTCACGTACCCTTCAGGGGAATATTGGTTTAAAATGGGAGGGGAGCTAACTTACCGCATCTGTTCAAATATAACACAATATTGTCGATTTTTATGCTATTAAATTACCAGGGGACCGAAAAAAAGGTATGGGGAAAAAATTCTACTGAACAAAAAACAAAAAACCTGCCTATGTTCATAAAAAACATCCAATAGCGTTTTAAAAAATTTTACCGAAGTCAAATCGGTGAAATAGAAGTTTAGAACGATTTAATTAATTTGATTAAAAAACTCCCATAAAAACAATAGCGCGATTAATTACCTAATTAATAAATCGTCATAAAATATTCTCGCGGCAAAAATAATTCATGAAATTTGCACAGATCATAGATAACGATGTGTATATGCTGATCCATATATTTTCGGAAAAGTTATGTCAAGGCTTTTAATGGAGCCTTAAAGTCCATGCCCGAGATATCTCGGGATATAGACTGCGCATTTGCACTCGCAGCCCCGAGATATCTCGGGTTTAACAATTTTCGATTTTGACGTTCCGTCGTCTGTGTCCTCTGCCCCGTAGTAGGCTATATTGAATCATTGTTCTGTTCTTACATTGTTCTTNGAAGAATAAAGCAAGTATGGAATAAGGGAAAAACATTCGGCAACATTAGAAGCAGAAGTGTCGCGATCTGGCAACATTGAAACAAGTTTCGAGAAGGACCACGTGTATCGACAGAAGGCGAGAAGAGAAAATTTACATACTTAAGTACTAATGGTTTACAAAAATAATAATTTTCGTGAACTATTATTACTTAAGTATGTAAAAATTTATTACATTTCCTGTTGTACTAGGCTGTTTTACCCAATTCTCGAACCGTGTTAGAGTGAATCCGTGCTATAGAAGTGCCGTGTTATACGGGGGATGGTACCAATTCTCGAACCGTGTTAGAGTGAATCCGTGCTATAGAAGTGCCGTGTTATACGGGGGTTACCTGTATTTGAAAAAAATAGCTGTAAGGATTGCTATTCTTTCGTTTAACGAGGCGTGAAATTTCACAGGTGCAGTCTACATTGTTTACAAACTGGTGGACTTCCAGAACAGCTGGAGTCCGCTTTTCCGGGTAGTTCTCACGTACCCTTCAGGGAATATTGGTTTAAAGCGGGAGGGGAGCTAACTTACCGCATCTGTTCAAATATAACACAATATTGTCGATTTTTATACTATTAAATTACGAGGGGACCGAAAAAAAGGCATGGGGAAAAATTCTACTGAACAAAAAACAAAAAAAACCTGCCTATGTCATAAAAACATCCAATAGCGTTTTAAAAAATTTTACCAAAGTCAAATCGGTGAAATAGAAGTTTAGAACGATTTAATTAATTTGATTAAAAAATTCCCATAAAAAACGATAGCGCGATTAATTACCTAATTAATAAATCGTCATAAAATATTTTCGCGGCAAAAATAATTCATGAAATTTGTACAGATCATAGATAAATATGCTGATACATACATTTTCGGAAAAGTTATACCAAGGCTTTTTAATGGACCCTTAAAGTCCATGCCCGAGACATCTCGGGATATGGACTGCGCATTTGCACACCCAGCCCGAGAGATATCTCGGGTTATGGGTTTAAGGGTTAAATTAAATTAATAAGGTATCAAATTTCTGGTTGAGATTTGGATTCAAATCCGAGCCATATTCCATAATTTATTACTCTGTTACAAATTTAAAAATCATAAATAATACTTTTTATTAATATAATTTTTCATACTCGTACGTGACAGTTTATTCGTTAATCCACTTAACAATTTTCGATTTTGACGTTCCATCGTCTCAGTGTCCTCTGCCCGTAGTAGGCTACATTGAATCATTGTTCTGTGTCTTACGTATAGATCTATCCAAAATGGCAGAATTTTGGTTGGCCGCGTAGCAAAAACGTTGGGAGAAACGACTGCGATAATCTTACATCCATTATTTGGCTGTGTATAAACGTAATAGTATATTATACGTAAATAGAGTCTGTTTGCAGATGGCAGTCATCCAGTGGCCATCGTTGCCAGTTCTACGGAAATCTGCTTAACGCAAATCCTGTTTGCCAAGTGGACCAAGTCGACCAAATCCTTTTGTCCGGTGGAACGTTACAGACCGGTGGCCAAGCAGAAAATCATAAATATCGTTTCTCTGGTAAGCGAGTTTGCAACTGGGCGAAACCCGTAGAGTCCGAGTCTTTTATTTTTCTTTCTTTCTTCTCAGCATCTGTGTTTGGATACGTGCAAGGTAGGTCTTCATTTCCTGGACGAAGACGCCAACGACGAGTTCTGTTGGTCGCTCAGGACCAAAACCCGTACCACCCTTTATTCCCTCTTCAACACCGTCAAGGAATTGTGGGAGAAACAATTCGGAATCGAACTGATATGCACCGAGGATTGTAAATACAATTCGGAAACGACGAAGGAAGAAGCGGCGACGAAATTTGTATTATAAAACTTTGTATTAAATACACGAAAGTAATTTAATAACCACCGTAACAGGGATTGTAACCCGGAATGAATAAAGTTTCCTCCTTTTGTACTTAGAAACGTCTTTATCTTCTGCCCGCCACTGGACAAAGTATTGTAATTTTCATCTTTTGCAAGTTTTGACCCGCGTGTCTACTTTATTTTATAAATACTGGGAAGTGAGAGGGGCTGTACAATGCCTTAAATTTACCACCGTCTACGATCTTAATAGACATAAGAACCAGATACATTGGAGACAGAGGGACTCCTATTACTAAGTGTTCGTGTTTTTCAAAACACACGTAGTCGACTGTATAGTAAAATACTAACAACACGCTTTAATTACTGTCACTATATTTTATAACTAGCAGATGAGCCCGGTATTGCTCAGGCAAAAACTAACAGCAAAGATTAAGATTATTAGATTCTTTCGTACTTCCAACCATTAATATTATATTATAGTACAGTGGAACCTCGGTATACGACCTTAATCCGTTCCTGATTGTTGGACTTATACCGAATAGGACGTATACCGAATCAACCTTTCCCATAAGAAGTAATGTAAAAATGATTAATTCGTTCTCATGTAAAAAAAATGGCTGGCTTGAAACACCTCGCTTTCCTCGCTAGTTCCTGCTTGATTTTTCATGAGATCAGCATGTATTTTTGTAGCTTTCTCGCAAATAATTGCTTCCGATACGGTGTCTCTAGCACACTGTTTTTCAGTTATCCAAAGCAAAAGCAATTTCTCAACATGATTTAATGTCTTCGATCTCTGTTTAGAAATTGATTTAACCCCTTTCGCAACGTTAGCAGATTTAATAATGTCTTTATTTTTCACGATTGTCAATATCGTCGTTCTCGGAATACGGTATGCAACAGTTAAATCTCGAACACACGTGCCACCTTCATATTTCTCAACAATCTCTTTTTTCAGTTGTGAATCTAGTCATTTTTTTAGTTTTCTGTTGCTTTTCATTTGCCTTCTTGCAATTCATGATTAATAATAAAATTTTACTTAGAAATTAAAATCAGAAGAAATCTAACAAAGTTATAAACTGTGGCACCGCGAACGTCTAGTCTGGTCTAGTACACCGACAGTTGTTCATAGATGGCGCGTATAATTAAGTCGTATACCGAGCAAAATTTGTTTTGTCCAAACAGGACGTATTCCGAATTGGACGTATTCTAAAGCAGACGTATACCGAGGTTCCACTGTGTTTCATTTATATTTACATAAGGGTTTATCAAACCGAGTGACCAATCTAACACATTTCTTAAATTTTTTAAATTGGGTACAGTATAAGAATAAAGAATTTTTAAAATGTGTTAGATTGGTCACTCGGTTAGGTAAACCTTTACGAAAGATAACCTTTGTAGTTACATAAATCATATGTTATAATAAAACAAGCATTAAACGGAAACCGTATAAAGAGTTTGGTTAATTCATCCTAACATTGTCACGTTTATCGCGGTACTCGGATGGTACGAAATGGCACAATTTCGTTGGTCAAGTAGACAGATGTAACAAACTTTTGTATTCACAGCCTAATATCAAATGGTAATCTGACAACCAATTAAATTTGGCGAAAAAAGAACCAAATATTTAAACTCGATATCTACTAGAAAACCAATTCAATCATATTTTGTGCTAGTTGGTAACTCGTATTAAGGGATTTTTCTATTCGAATGCCACCATACCGGTGGGTCCGATAGGAAGAAGGGACTGTTGCGGATGGAGGTTGAAGTTAATTCGATCAAAGGTGGTAGCTGTCCTCCTTCCGGAAGAGAGGATGATCAACCACTAGTAATTAGACAGGTTGCGATGGCCCCTGCGCGGGATCGAAATTGCTAACCTTAACGTCCGAAAGACCTCGTATGACTTGTTTAAATAAAGAAAATCTTGTAAAAATGCTAGAATTATTGCTTTAATGCGATAATAGTGTTTAAATTTTGGCAACGGATTGTATAAACTACGTGGGAAGTATGTTTTCGTAAATATCGCGTTTATATTAAAACTAGCAGACCCCGCCACGCGTTGTTGTGGCTCAAAATGCATCTATTATAAATTTATAACACTTCCCCCGTGGGAGGATTTTTCGAAAAATTTCTTCTTAGTGTACATTCTCTCGACGTACCCTATTAAAACGCAATCAAAAACGTAAAAACCCGCATCTAAAATAGTATAAATAGAAGCAGAGTTCTTTACGGTAAGCGTTAATCCCGTCCATCTCCCGGGGGGATTTCGACATGTATAATATATATATCAAAATCCCCCCGCAACGCTGTATTCGAATACGCACGTGTTTTTATATAATATAAAAACACGTGCGTATTCGAATGCAGCGTTGTGTCAAAATTTCAAAGGAATCGGTAGGAACAAACGAACATTACATTTTTATTTATATAGATAGCTAGAAGATGATCCGCTTTAGTTCATTTTCACAGAAAAGCATAATGTCTCGCAGAAAAGCAAACTTAGGGCGTCGTACTCGTAGCGCCATCTGTTGGACATAAAAGCCTTAACCTAGATTATATCTTTTAATTTATATGAATGTTTAACGGAATAATACACAGCCTATATCCACCCCGAAGTTCCATTCTAAATATTGGTGAAAGAATTTTTGAAATCGGATGAGTAGTTTCGGAGATTACCCGCTGCATACAAACTTACATACAAACATTACCTCTTTATAATATTAGTATAGATTATCGGGGTTCAGTTTGAACAAATTTAGACCTATAAATTCCGGCTGACGTCTTGTCTTTCAATCTGTTCTTCTTAATCTCGAGAAAGGAGTTAGATAGACAAAAGTCAAGAGCAGATGTGGAAAGAGTAGGAGCAGGAGGCCCAGACTGACTATATACGAACTTCCGGTTTGGAAGGGAAGTCACGTTACTTCGATTCAAAATTATAACCCGAACGAAGTTAGATAGCGAGAGTCGTGCGTGTCATCTAACAGGAAAACTATGAAGTGCGGGAGCGACACACCACTAAAGAAACCGAGAACATTGTGACGAAAAGTTATAGGCCGGCACCCGCCATTGTGACGATGTGAATAAATAATCGTTGGTCACAATTAATTTGGTTTATGCATGGGCGTGCGAATGTGAGCACTAATTGAACTTATCGCCAGTGATGATAATTTTTCCCTTTTGTCTTTATAATTATTGCCGAATTTTCTCATCGATATATGTTAAATTAGTTGCGCTTTACGTACAAAATTTAACTCGAAATAACAAGTGAGAAAATTATTAAGCGCTATTAACAATAGTTTTAAGGCATAAGAATCGAGTAAACGAAGTTTTAATGCTTAGTTATTCATTTATTTTTCAAAAATAATTACGGCATTCCAATTATCGTCAAAACACCGAGAAATTTGCATAATTCCGTGAGAGAGATGCGTCAATGGTTTGTCCATTAATCAAACAAAATTTAGCAGTTCGACATATTGCTAGAATTCCTCATCTCCCGGTCGATTGTTGAGACTTTCCTAATTAAAATAATAAAGACGATTTAAATATTGTATGTTGTCTTCCGCCTTCTCTTTCCAAGCATTCCTTCACCTAAAATTGTATCGAAAACACATTAAAAAGATGTTATAAAATAACGCATTAATTTTTATTTCCAGTTAATATTTTAGTAGAAGACGAAGAGCGATGGCGCAGAAATTATGGTAGAAAATTGCAACGCGTATAAAGCAGAAGGTAAGTAAATGACTTACTTAAAGCGTGTGTAAAATAGAACTTTAGTAAATGACTTACTTCATATTTTTTCATCACGGAATAGTCACAAAAAAGTTTCAAGACGGCTTCGGATTTACTATCGATTTCATACTCTAGTTTCAAGCGAGTGTAGATGATCCTAAAATTATAAAACTGTTAGAGAAACGTCGACGTATTTCGTTCCGTAGAAGTCTGTCGACAGCGCTTACCTTCTTGTAGATTTCTGGACTGCCATTAATGAGGCATTCTAGGAATCGAAGAGAAAGATTTTCCGGAACGACTGGAATTAAATTAAATGCGGATTTAATTGCGTGTTATTTTGGAGAGGAAACAAACCAATAATCTTACGGTTATATAGAGCCTTTATATAGTCCTTCGTGGAATACTCGAACTCCCGAAGACGGAGCCGAAAGAAATAATAATGCCAGTGTGTTCGTGGTGTTCCTGGCTTCGATTCCACTTCCAAATGAAACTTTAAAACCTATCGTTCGGAAATGTCGTACAGATAAGATTTTTTTAAAAAGAAACACGGACGTAATTAATGAGTTCCTCTTCCTAATCTTAAAAAATGTAGCCAGGAAAGAAATACGGGGGAAGGTGGTACGAGATGGGGTCACGGGGTAAAACGGAGATGTCCGTTCGTTCGCGGTTAACGCGCTTTCGTCTAGCCGTTATTCGGGAAACTAAATGTCGACCTGGAAAGGGATGGAGGGACGGGAGAGAACGTTCGAATCGTTCTCTTTGTTCGGAAGTAAGACGTTTCGGTAATACTTCGTCTAATTTTACGTCCGCTACAAAGTTTCTGCAAAGTAAGCGCAGTCGCGAACTTTTACATTACTTTTCAGACCAAGATATTACGGTATTCGAAGTAATCTTTAAGACCGAAGTTGTTTAGTTTTGAAATAAAGTTGACCCGCGTTCGCAGTCGGTACGAAAAGTGCGCGTTGGGGGCAAGACGCCGCCATTTTGACCAAGGTCGGCCACGAATTCTGCCGCCGGCTAGAGGCGCCGCAATATAGTGCAGCGAACTAGTTTTAAATTCGTCGTCGTCGATAATTCTATATCATTTTTTCGAATAAGTTTAAAATTGATCTTTTTATAGAAAATGAAATATTCCACTTTTAAATCGTATCTCACTGTAATAAATTTATACAGTATATACTGTATTACTTTATTATTTGTTTTTACGTTTTGTTTTATTTGCGAAAACATTTTTTAAATTTAAATACCGTCGTAAGGATTTATAAAATCTGAGATAACGATCGAAATAAAATTTTTTTTCACGGAAAAAAATATCGTCCGTTTACAAAATAGCGAAACCGAGCGTGCGCGAAGCGACGGTATCGTCTGGTAAAGTAAATACGAGTAAGTTGAAACTTTTATATTTCTTTATTCGGAAAATAATAATAAACGTAGCCGCTGCGATAAACGGGAGCCAATATTGAAGAAAACGACGGTTTAACCATTTAAACGCGTCCTTCTCGTATATAAAAATAATATCCCCGTCTTATCCCGCGGGTGGGGCGAGATGGCGCATTCACGTATAATTTTAAAATATTGAATTTTCTTGTTTTTCAAAAATCAAATTTTGTTTTATATTACCAAATGTTGTAGTTGCCGAGAATAAAAAAATTATCGTTCTCGTCCAAGTGGTTGTCCTCTTATGACTTTTCAAACCTTAACCTCCTCGTCCTGCCCCACCTTCCCCTAATTATTTCAAACGTAAGAACTATCGAAAGTTCTATCAAAAAAGTATTTATAAATAATTTTAATCTATCAATTAGCTTTTAATCAGTTAAGTGTATGGCTGTAACTACTTAACAAGTGTTTTTTTTTCACTCTCCGCCCCGTGGGCGCTATGAGGGCCTCTTAAAGCGGGCCCATTACGGGTTCGGCCGGGCCCGCGATGGGGCGACCGGGTGGTGAGGGACGGGGCCCGACGTATCCGAACGGACCACCCCCGAAAAATTCCTGAGGATTTTTCGACCCGTTCGGATTCGAACCCGGGTCCCCCAGAGCGGTATGCTGCCACCTCGACCGCTCCGCCATCCGGCCCCTTTTAACCGGTGTTTACAAATATTACCAACCAAGGCCGTACTGTGCTATGATACAGAGATGCGGCCGCATCAGGCGGCACTGTAATGGGGCGTCATAAGCATCATTTAAGGTGTGGCATAAGCGGCATTTCGAAGACTTGCATCATACTGAGAATATCTACCGCGCGGCTCTGTTACCAACACGCATAAATACTGTTACAAATTAACTTACAAGATGCGTTCCATAAGTAATGAGACTAATTTTTTCAGGACACGACGATATGCCGTAGCTAGTTCTAACCCGCTGCGCTAGGTGGTGCGGGTTGTTAACTTCGGAACTCGCCCGGTCTCGCTCCGAGCTGCCGGCGTGCGAAGACGTTCGTTCCAGCCAACCCCGTTTTGAGTTAATGTAACGCGGAGCGATGGATCATTTCGTGGAGCAACGTTACGCTATCAAATTTTGCGTTAAACGTGGGAAGTCCGCTATCGAAACTTTTACATTAATTCGGCGGGCCTTTGGGAGTGATCGCTTCTCCAAATCGCAAGTCTTTCTAAGGCACGAGTCATTCGAGGATGGCCTAGAGGAGGTCACCGACAAACCTTGCAGCGGACGTCCGTCAACCTCTTTGACATCGGAGACATTAACCACCACGAATTCGTACCTGTCGGGACCACTGTAAAGGCAGCTTTCTACTTGGAAGTGTTCGAAAGACTGAAATCCTAGTCACGCGCTGCCCAAGTGACATCGAGGACACGCGGAAACTTTATCACGAGAACGTGCCAAGCGCAGCGCCTTCGCTGTCGACGATTTCCCGGCCGGGACCCACACCCCGTTGGTTCCCCAGCCACCTTACAGTCCTGACCCGACCTGGCTCCCGCCAACTTTTTTTTTGTTTCCCCGCACGAAAGGGAAACATTGGGGCAAGATTGAAAACATCGAGGCTTATGTTACATCAGCTCTGAAGGACATTCCGGAGAAGGCCTTCCAGAATGCTTTCCAGGCCCGGAAACACCGCCTTCACAAGTGTATCGATGCGGGAGGGTGCTATTTCAAAGATTTTTGACTAATTGTAAAAACATGTTCAATAAATGATTTTTTATGAATTTCTTCGCATCACTCATGGAACGCATCTTATATACATTTTTTTCTGTAAACAATTTACATAATGTGTACAGTCGACCCCCCTATAATTACGGTCACTATA